TGCTGGGCATGTATCAGTATTCCATTCCTTTTTACTGCTGATTCATGTTCCATGGTGTAGACACGCCACATCTGGTCTATCCGGTCACCAGCCGATGGACATTAGGCCATTTCCACTGTTTGGCTACCGGGAATCACACTGCTGTGAACATTCACATCCAAGAATTTGTGTGGACATTTATTTTGATTTCTCTTGGGTAGATTTCTAAGAGAGGAATTACTGGAGTCAGGTGATAAGATTGTTTTGCTTTCTTTAAAAACTCTGTTGGCGGTGGGGCGCCTGGGTGGCTCAGTTGGTTAAGCGACTGCCTTCGGCTCAGGTCATGATCCCAGGGTCCTGGGATCGAGTCCCACATCGGGCTCCCGGCTCAGCGGGGAGCCTGCTTCTCCCTCTGCCCCCCCCCTCTGACCCTCTCCCCTCTCATGCTGTTTCTCTCTCGCTTGCTCTCTAAAAAATAAATAAATAAAATCTTTAAAAAAAAAAAACAAAAAACTCTGTTGGCTGTTTTCCAAAGTGCCTCTACGGCAATGTTTGAGGCTGTTGGTTAGGCCAGGGACGGGTGTACAAAGACGAACAAGACAGCTCCCACTCACAAGCAGCATACAGTCTAACGGGAGAGAAATGATCAGTAAAATTACCGTCCAGTGGAGTTACTTCCTGATAGCACCGAAAAGGTTGGGTCTATCAGGCAATTGCACAATTAAGATCGTCTAGAGCAGAAAAAGAGAAAGACACAGGGCTTCTTCCCTTCAAACATTTTTTTGAGCACCTAATATGTTTCTGACAGAAAGCGGAGATGATTAAATATGAATACAGTCATGCTTCAGGGATTTTGTTCAGCTGTGCGGAACAGAACACCTCACATTACTAGAGCTTACATAAATAAAACATTGCTTGTCTGTCACATAACTAGAAACCTGGAGGCAAGGAGTTCAGGGCTTTGCCTGCCTCTCTGTAAAGTCAGCAGGGATTCATGCCCCCCTCCAGGTTTGGGTCCCCCAAAGGATCTGGCGCTTGTCCTCAGACTTGCAAAACAGGAAATAGAGCTCCAGCCTCCACGCCATCATTCCACTCAAGGGCAAAAGAGAGTGTGCTAGTTGAGTCTGCTACTTGGCTTAACTGAGTCACCTCCCTGGACCTCCCCTACATCCACTGGACAGAATCGGGTTATGCTGCCCACAAGGGAGGCCAGGAAATGAGTGTGTCATCTGGGCATACTGCTGTCCTCAGTAAATTAGGAGTCCATTAGTAAGGAAGAAGGGGAAAATAGGCATTAGGTGAGCAACCCACAGGTCTGCCTCTGTCTTTCCTGAAGTAAATAATCAAGCAAAGAAAAGAGCAGGCCAGAGACACGAGGCACACAGTAGGTGTTCTGTATACCTTACTTTGGGCTCTCTCCCCTCCTCCTCTGAGCTGAACCCATGAGAGACTTGGGAACAGGTAACGTATTTGGGAGATGATCCCAGGAAACAGGCATAAGGGAGAAGGGAGAAGAGATGAAGGAGGCCATCGCAGTTCAATGTCACGGGGACATCTGGGCAGCATGCGAGGCAGGCCTGCATGCCCACCGGAAGGACAGGCGGCTGGAGAATTTACTCAGTGGCTCCAGCCCTTATCAGCTGAGTTTTGCCCCAGATGGTGCTCACTCCCCTTCACTTCCAAGCTGAACTTGATCCAGCTAGGAGGGCCACCACCTAACCACTCCCCCATATCAGGGGAGATCCTGAGACACCATGTGGGGGCAGGGGGGAGCCCTGGACATGGGACCCAGCAGAGTGACTGGAAACTGAGCTCCCAAGGACCTGCCCAGCAAGAGGCGGCTGGGGGATGGCAACGCAGGTATGAAAGCCATCTCCTCCTCAGAAATCATTAGGATCTCTAATATGATCTCTGGCCAACGTTGTCCCTGTTTACCGGCATGGGACGTGACTACCAAAAGGGGAATAAAGTGAATAAAGTACATAAGATTTGAGGAAATTTGTAAAAAAAAAAAAAAACAGTTCACATTTGAGCTGGGTCTTGAAGGCTACGATGGATATGGGAGACACAAACTCAAGGAGGAGCTCTTCGGGCAGAGAGGACACCTGGGTGGATTCTCTCCTGGGGTAAGAATCTGCTCGTTACGGTTTATTAGAACATTCAAAACAGGCAACCCCACATGTGCCAACGATACATGGAAACACCGGAGACTGTCGTGTCTTGCAATTGTTATTAATAGAGCCAATGCATTTGTAGAAGATTTGATGAAAAAGTGATGCTGCATCTGTGCGGCTCCCCCAGGAAAGCAGGGGGCAGCGTTGAGGGAACACCAAATCAACACTCATTAGCACAGAGGGTGCCTCTGAGGACGCAGGTCTGCAGCGGCAGGCCCCGCCGGCTCCCCCATGCTCAGCCCATGCCATGCACGCACAGAGGGCTGAAGGACCCAGCAGATGATGGATAATCTTGATTATCTAGCTTTGCAGGTAACACCCAGAAAGGATGAAGATTATGTTTTTCCCCAACCTGGAAGATGGATGGTTTCGCATCAGAAATCAAGTTGCTCTGCTGAGAATAAGTAGAAGTGCTACCTCTTAAGCCCCCAGGCAGACTGAGATCCCTAGCCAGGCGCCTTTTTTATTTTAGTAGAAACTGCCAAGAGATGAGACTATTCACAAACACTAGGACTGCCTGCGAGTGTTCTCCCAATATTCTCTCCTGAATTCGATATCTTTTTTTTTTTTTTTTTTATTCATTTGAGAGAGAGAATGAGAGAGAGAGAGCATGAGAGGGGGGAGAGTCAGAGGGAGAAGCAGACCCCCCGCCGAGCAGGGAGCCCGATGCGGGACTCGATCCCAGGACTCCAGGATCATGACCTGAGCCGAAGGCAGTCGCTTAACCAACTGAGCCACCCAGGCGCCCCCTGAATTCGATATCTTTTAAATTCTTGTTAATCTAACTGGAAAAATGGTTTTGGAGTCCCGTTTGGATTTGTATTTCCCTGACTCCCCAGAAGGCTGGACCTCTTTTCGTGTGTTTACTATCTGTTTGTATTTGCTCTTCAGTGGATTTCTGTTCATATCTTTTACCCAATATTCTAAGAGGTAATTTCATCTTTTTCTTATTAATCTGAAAGTCTTCTTTAAGAGATGGCAACCATTCACTGGCTATGGAGAATATTTTTTTCCTGTCTCTTGACGTTGTTTATGGTGCTTTTTTCCATACTCTACATTTTGGATTGCCCATCTTGTTAAGAAAATCTCTCCGTTCCACAGTTTTATAAATATGTAAAATGTTCTTCTATTTCCTTATGCGTATTTCTTCTATCTCATACACACACACACACACACACACACACAAAGTTAGACAATAGTTAGATGGATCATTAATTAATCCATCTGGAATGTGTGTGTGTGTGTGTGCGCGTGCATGTGTGTGTGTGTAGGGCCAAAAGGACTCCATGCTTCCAGAGTTCACAAGATCCTCGTGTGCAGCACCAAATGTGATATGAACCAGGTACTGAAGTCTATTGCTGAATTCTGCCTTCTACATTTTCTAGCTCGAAAGGCATCTCGAGCCTCCCTGCTACTTAAGAAGGAAGAAGGAGAGGGGCTTCCTGCCCATTGCCTCTCCCACAGTTCCATGGCCAGCCACTCTCAAATCTCTGCCACCCTTCCGCCTGAACATCTCTGCTCCTGTCCTCCCCTGGCCCCACGCCGCCACCTCTTCATCCTGGTTCCAGGCTACCATCATCTATCCGAGACCTCTGAAGCCCTGGTCTCCCTGGTTCCTTGCCCCTCCCCTTCCAATCCATTCTCCACCCTGCAAGGGGGAGTCTTTTTAAAGGGCAGCCCCCTCTCAGCCCCCACTGCCTAAAGCCCTTTCTTCTTCCACGGCCCCCAGTGCCTTCAGGAGACAGTCCAAACTCCCACGTACGGTGGATCCAGACACTTCCCGACTTTTGTTTAAAAACAAAACAAAACAAAAAAAAAACCTTTGCAGCCTTATTTCTCAAATTGTGTCTCCCAGCTCCACACTCTGGCCAAACTACTTTCAGTTCCTCAAAAACACCAAGCTTCCTTATAAAATACATAAATCACAGGGATAAAAAATACAGCATAGGGAAGGAATATGGTCAATAATACTGTAATAACATCGTCTGGTGACAGAGGGTAACTACAGATATCAGGCCAAGTGCTGCATAACATAGAGAATTGTTGGGTCACTATGTCATACACCTGAAACTAATATAACACTGTGTGTCAACTGTACTTGAGTTAAAAGAAAAAAACACCACCAACCTTCCTTTTCAATAGATCTCAATCCTGGCTATGCCCCAGCTCACCTGTCGAAAACTGAACACACATTTGTCCAGGTCCTACCCCTGTGATCCTGATTCAGGAGGTCAGGTGGGTCCCTGTACCCACATTCTGTGACGATCCCCACAGCCACTGCTCTTTTGTCTCCAGGTCTGGGGTATGTGATTCCCTCTGCCTGGGACCCTCCGCTTACCTCCTTCATGCGACCCCAGCCCCACGCCACCGCTGGATATCACCTCTTCTTCCACCAAGGCAAAGTTTAGATGCTCTTTCCTCCAGCCGTGTCTCTATCACCTTGACCATCCAGGTTAGGGCCCCCCCAACGCTCCCCCAGCCCCCTGGGCTTCATCATCACGCACTCATCACAATGAAATACAACGTCCTGACTTCTCACCTCCCACCTCGGACACGGAGTCCAGGGGAAACCGGGACAGTGTGTCGGTCTGGTTCACCGTTATATTCCCTGCACCCAGCAGAGACCTGACACAGAGCAGGTGCTCCATAAATGATGGCTATTTAAAAAAAAAAAACTGAATGAACAAATTGGATGAATGGATACCTGTGGCAGTTTCCATGACCAATAAGAACTGCTCCGCCAAGGCAGCACGCAGATGAGCGGTCTGGCCTGCAGAGGGCACCAGCCTGCTTCTTGAGCTCCCCGCCCGCGCGGGCGCTGCCGCCGTCAGTCGGGGAGGCGCCCGATCGCTGCTCCCTGCTCCGCGGTCCTTTCCCTGCGCTGAAGATGAAGTAGGAGTCTGCCTGCAGCCCGTGTGTGAAGGCTGAGTGCTCCCCCCTCACTTCCAGCAGCGGGTACCACATGCCCGGTCCTGCTATGAAAACAGCTGAAACTCCAGGCACCAGTGGCAGCTTTTCCATTCCCAGGTGGGGGTGTGAGAAGGGGTAAGAAGGAGGGAGAAGGACGACGACGCAGAGGAGTGCCCGTCCTGGAAAAGCAGAGGAAAGTTCTCTTGTCCGTCTCCCAGCTGACTTTCTCTCCCTCTCCCTCAGCCTGGACTGGACTGGACGGGCATCCACCGCAAGCATCTGGAGGGGGATTCCTTGCCGCCAGCAGCAGCAGGTTCTGGACGCTGCCAGAGCCCCAGCTCCCACCCACCCGTCCCTTAGCAATGAACGCTTCGTGCTGCCTGTCTGCTCAGCCAACACTGCCCAACAGCTCAGAGCAGCTCGCGGCGCCCTCCTTCAGCAACCAGAGCAGCAGCGGCTTCTGCGAGCAGGTCTTCATCAAGCCCCAAGTCTTCCTGGCGCTGGGCATCGTCAGCCTGCTGGAGAACATCCTGGTCATCCTGGCCGTGGTCAGGAACGGCAACCTGCACTCCCCCATGTACTTCTTCCTCTGCAGCCTGGCGGTGGCCGACATGCTGGTGAGCGTGTCCAACGCCCTGGAGACCATCATGATCGCCGTCGTCAACAGCAACTACCTGACCTTCGAGGACCAGTTCATCCAGCACATGGACAACGTCTTCGACTCCATGATCTGCATCTCCCTGGTGGCCTCCATCTGCAACCTCCTGGCCATCGCCGTGGACAGGTACGTCACCATCTTCTACGCGCTGCGCTACCACAGCATCATGACGGTGCGGAAGGCGCTCGCCTGGATCGCGGCCATCTGGGTGTGCTGCGGTGTCTGTGGCGTGGTCTTCATCGTCTACTCCGAGAGCAAGATGGTCATCGTGTGCCTCATCACCATGTTCTTCGCCATGCTGCTCCTCATGGGCACCCTCTACGTGCACATGTTCCTCTTCGCCCGGCTGCACGTCCAGCGCATCGCGGCGCTGCCACCTGCCGGGGGGGTGGCCCCGCAGCAGCACTCGTGCCTGAAGGGGGCTGTCACCATCACCATCCTGCTGGGGGTCTTCATCTTCTGCTGGGCCCCCTTCTTCCTCCACCTCATCCTCATCATAACCTGCCCCACCAACCCCTACTGCGTCTGTTACACCGCCCACTTCAACACCTACCTGGTCCTCATCATGTGCAACTCCATCATCGACCCGCTCATCTACGCCTTCCGGAGCCTGGAGCTACGTAACACCTTCAGGGAGATCCTCTGCAGCTGCGACAGCCTGAACCTCGGGTAGGGCGCCGCGGCCACGGAAGTGGGCGACGGCTCCATCACTGGTGAGCCCCCAACCAGCCAAGGTGTTCAGAAAAAAGAAGAGGGGGTAGGTAAATCCTTGGAAGACTTAAAATGTGTCAACAGCCATGACTGTACATGTCTTTTGTCTTTGTGCTTGCAAAGCTTTTCAAAGGGGAAAATGGTACGTAACACGCTTTCTCAAAGGATTCCAAAGTGGGTAAGTCACTGATTTCCCAAAGAGGCCCTGGCGGGACTCAGTGAGGGCTCCTCTGGGTGCTGCCTGTATTCATTTCCATGCACCTGGGGTCTGCAATGCCCACCTGCTCCCTCCAGCGTCCTCCCCGTGTCTCCCTGCCGCAAGTCAGACCAGACGGAAGGACTCTCGTTGACTGTAACAGGGATTCGAATGTCTCCCCAGCAAACCTGTCACAGTTCTGGCTGTCACCTGCTCAGATGGTCTTGTCCTCATTTCGTAAGAGACTGAGTTTCTATTCTATAACTCGATTTACTGTAAAACAATTGCCTAAAAAATACTGAGCTCTGTGTGGAAGAAGCAACGCTATGTATGGCCCTCTCCTCAACCCCCATACCAGCCTCCCCCCGAAAATGAGCATGGGGATGTAACCTATTTCTATTTCGGCTGCTGTAGTGCTGTTGTCGGGTTCTTATGCATTAAACCTAAGGCAGCTTTCAAAATTCCAATGAAAGGCAGATACAGTGCTTTGGAAAATCAGCACATACCTGTGTACAAAGTATTTTGATACCTTGCTGTTTAAAGGTATAAATTTCCCTCTTTAAAAAAAAAAAGCTTTTTTCCGATTATTCCTTTTCTGTCATTAAAGCAAGAGAGGGAATCATGGATGGGAGGGCACGTGCCTCAAGAAATGGCTTTACTATAGTTTCAGAGAGTTTCAGAAACTGTGAAAATGCCTGTGGTTTTCTCAGAAGCTCTGTTTTTGCTCACAGTAGCCGTGTCTCTATCACCTGATCTCCTGAGTTATCTGTGAAAGAGAAATTTCTTGGTTCACTGCTCCTTTTTTCTGGCATGGTGTAAAAGTTGGGGTGACCCAGCTCTCAATGCCTGTAGCTTATTAAAGAAAGCATTTCATCCCCGTGAGCATAGGGTGAGCTGTGCTGACTAGGACTGTCTCTGCATGCTACACGCACCCATCAGACCCTCTCCTGCCCTGGAGAACTTCATGCTGTGCTTTCTGGCTGGCCTCACACTGCCCCCCCCCCACACACCCTCCCCAGTGAATTCTTATAATATGCTGTGTCTTTGGTGTACAATTGTGTGTTTTTTCTTGTGCTGGAATATACTGTGGGTTTTTGGTACTTGAAGACATCCTGCCAATAGAAGCAATATCACTTGTCTCTTGCTTTGGTTGTGATGTTTGGAAACAATAAAAGGCTTTTGTGGCTGCTAAATGTGTGACACGTTAAAATATGCCACCTGGAAGCATCCTGGTGACTTCTGCACATGGCCCCCACACCTTACACTGTGATTCTGAGTATTTGGTAAATGGCATAAACACTGCCATTGACCACAGTGCTCAGCTTTTCTAGGGCAATGCCCTTCAGCCAAACTACAAAATTCTCCCATTTAGTTTCCGAAAATACCAGGCCATAGTTCCTGGGCCACTGTCACTCTCCATTATTCTAATTGAGATGTCAAATAATAGGTCATGCCCATGGCTACTCAGCCAGCAAATGGGGAAAATGGGGAATTGGAATCTTTGAAAATGTATTAACAGCTGTAAAAATTATGATGTCCCTTTTCTATGTAAACAAGATAAAAATAACTTACTTTTCACTCTCTGATATCAGCTTTCACATTACTTCACTTGCCTCTCAACAAACTTCTAAAATAGGTGAGTCATGTCCCAGATGAAGACCTGGGCAGGAGAGGTAACGTGGCCGTCCAACCACGCCCCGCTGGTTAAAGTCACAGTGTATTTTGTGTCCTGGTGATGATGTCTTTTTGCCCCAACCCGATGCTGGCAACAGGTTTCCATATTCAGACCCGACTCGGCTCTCCTCCCTGTACGCATTTTAGCTTACAGTGGCACTTCCAGATGTAAATGCCCACAAGAATCACCTGGGATCTTGTTCCAGTGCAAATTCGAATCAGCAGGTCTGGGGTGGAGCCTAAGATTCTGCATTTCTGACTCGGACAAGCGCCCAGGGGATGCAACTGCTGGTCTGGGGACCACCTTTCACAAAGCAAGGGCACAGAGGACTTTCAAAGGAGCATAACGGAAACCCAAAAGTATTCATCTGCCTAGAGTGCTGACCCCGTGCCAAGAACCATGCTAAGTACGTATAGACATTTGCTTCTCTGACACTTGCAATCACATCACGAGGTAGATACTATGATCACCCTTATTTTGCAGATGAGACACCTGAAACTCAGAGATCAAGGAGCTTGTCTATGAAAATTCAGCTAGCAAGGAGAGAAGCAGAGGTCCAAACAGGCTGCCCAACCCGCATCCCCAAGTCCAACACCAATGCCCTAGCACCTTTCATGGAAACAGTTATAGATGGTTGAGCCATGACCCAATGACATCAGAGGCAATGTGCTGCCATGGAGGGAGACTAATACATATTTCTACAACTCTCAAGTCCAGAATTTCATAATGGAGTTTCCACAGAGATGTCATAAAAACCAAGAGCCAATTAATCATTTTATTTGCTCTCCTTTTCCAAAGCCTATGGGTAGCCCTGGGGAGTACACCTCTTACTGGGGGTTGAACATTAGGCTGACAGGGCCACTTCATGTGGGAACCCACTGAACATCTTCAGCAGCAGGAGTTAGGTTTGAAAATGCTTAATCTGGGTAAATAAAAGCTCATCATGATTTTAACTCACATGTTAAGCTACATTCACCTTTCACTTCCATCCCCAAGGCAAGATCACTGCAGTGGTTGACTCCCTGGGTCTCTAGAAATGGTTGCCTGTTGTCCTTAAGTTGAACTTTTGTGCTTAATTCCTATAGGGCTGGGGGCTACAACATACTCAAGCCTCCTCGGCTGAAAACCTTCACCACCCTCACCTCCACCAAAACCCATTCTCCACACAGCAGCCAGTGCAATCCTTTAAAAATACAAATCAGGGGGCACACCTGGGTGGCTCAGTCGGTTAAGCAGCTGCCTTCGGCTCGGGTCGTGATCCCAGGGTCCTGGGATCGAGCCCCACGTCGGGCTCCCTACTCAGCAAGAGCCTGCTTCATCCTCTGCCTGCTTGTGCTCTCTCTCTGTCTCTCTGTCAAATAAATAAATAAAGTCTTAAAAAAAAAAAATACAAATCAGATCATATTGCACTCCTACTCAAAACTCTTCAGTGGCTTCAAATAAAATTCCACTTCCTTACCTGGCCCTAGAAAGCCTTAAAGATCTGATCTCCTCTGGTAAATCCCCAACACCCTCCTGCCCACACTTAACCACCCCCACTGGACTCAAACTCACCATACTCATTCCTGCCCCAGGGCCTTTGCACTTGCTATATCCTCTGCCTCAAGCTTCTTGCCCCCATATCTTCCCATGCTTGGCACCTTTTTATCATTCAGGCTTCAGCTCAGTCCTCTGAGATGCCTTCCCTGACTACTCTTTCTCAAGAAGACCCCATGTATTCACATGGACTATTATTTTATCACAGATCTTGTTGCTATTTTATATTTTCTTATTAGTTTATTCATTTAATTATCATCAATCTGTCCCACTAGAAAGCAGTGCCCAGCATCTAAAACTGGTCAATAAAGAATATGTGTTAAATGAGTAGATGACTTCATTAATACATTTTAATATGAGTTCAAGTCTAACCAAAGAGAATATAATATGCCAGCGATCCTCAGATTTGGTGAATGTCAGTAGCAAACATGGAGTCTGAGAAAAACAGCCCCATCTCTGAAAATTACAATCCAGCAGGTCAGAGGTAATGCCAGGCATCTGAAATCTTCAAAATCCACAGGCAATTATGATGCACAGCAAACTATGAGAACTACCTAAACCAACAAGCACTGCTCATTTCTGAAGAATAACAAAAACCAGCACCTGGGGGCTTAAGTTTCTTTCCCACCATTCCCTGTCAAGGTGTCAAGCACCTGCAATTAATGTCGGGCCCTCCAAGAACCAACAACGTAAATCTAGAAACTGGGAGCACCAGATGACAAAATGCAGAACAAAAGGAAAACTTGCAATTGAAGACCTCAACCTTTCTCATCTAAGAACACCTATGTGGGAGCCAAATCAATAGAAATAATAATTAGACACTACAGGGTGTTAGTATGTGCCTGTCACTGTGCTAAGCGTTCTGATACATTAACTCGCTGAATTCTCACCAAAAGCCCATGACCTAAGCACTACTACCGTTGTAGCCTACAGAAAAGGAAGCTGGATCGTGGAGGGGGTGAAATCGTCTTGACCCAGGCTTCCAAGAGGGTGAGAGACAGAGCTGGACCCCGTAGCCACCGTCAGGATCCGCACCCCACATGTGAGCCCCAGCACCACGCACCCCCAGCTGTGTGTGTTCCACACTGATCACTAACCAGCGTGTCATCAAGCAGGACTGGGCGCAGATTCTACCTCCCTTCTACGCCGGGAGGAGAGTAATTCGTGAAAGCTGGTCTTCACCAAGGGCACAGTTGTGTCACTGATGCTCAGTGAGTCCCAAGTGGTGTCCCATGACTCAAATCCGTTCACTCAGAAAAATCTAAGCCCCCAGCGCTTGGCTACTCTGGGTAAAAGTCATTAATAACAACAATAACTAATGTTTAGAGAGTGTTTCATTATATGCCAGATACCGTCCTGGGCACTTGACATATGATCTCGCTGAACCTTCACAACTATCTTCTAAGACCGTGGTTCTCAACTAGGCACCATGTTGACCCCAGGGTCCATCTGGCAATGTCTGCAGATACTCTTGCGGGTCACATCTAGGGTGGGGGTGGTCCTGGCATCTAACAAGTAGCGGCGAGAGCTGCTGCTAAACGCCCTACGATGCACAGGACAGGCCCCCACAACCAAGAATTATCTGCCTCAATGCCAACGGCACTGAGCTTCAGAAGCCTTGTTGTAAAGTAAATAACCTCCATCCTCACCATCTCACAGATGAGCAAAATGAGCTTGCCCAAGATCACGCTGCTTCCAGAAAGCCCTAGCCCAGAGCCCAGGCTCTAGACTCAGCCCATCATTAATTCAGCACATGGAGGGGGCCTCCTCTGTGCTAGCCCCTCCCAGATGGGCAGGTGGATGGGGCTCTGCCCTGCCGGAACGCCAGCTTATCAGGGAGATGACAGGTACAATGACAGGAACAGGTAGGAAGGGCGGCTGAGGGCTGCAGAAGCACAGAGCGGCCCCTCCCCTAGCCAGGGACACCCTCAGGGGGAGCCTTGAGGAGGCGGAAATGGAAAGGGAGGTGAATGAGAAACAAGTGGAGGAAACCAGAAGCAGCACATGCCAGAAACTAAAGAAATCTCAATGACCCTGGAGGCCCAGGGCCATGCCTGCTACCACGAAACTCCTGGCTTCACTGCCCAGGTAGCTCTAGAAAAGGCACCTAAGAGCCTCTAGGGAGTCCTGTAATCATCTTTCCCTGGGGACTACTTATAGCTCCTCAGAACCTTCTGGTCCCCAAAAGGGATTAGACCCGGTGTCAGAAATGTCAGCTTACCTAAGCTAAGTCCCTTTTCATCTCTCCCAGGTGAGCCTCCCATGTGTTTCTTGCTGAGCAGAGAGAGGATTTGGGAAGCTCTCCCCCTCCGCACCCTGACCGGCCGCAGAGCCCACGTGGTTAGTGAGAGCTCCGCACAGGCAGCCTGGCTGGGGTGGCAAGCCCGGTGGAAAATGCCGAGTCCTGCAGGGTTACAGCATGAGCTCACTGAGTCCCCAGTCCTGCCATGGTGTGAAGGCGGGTCAGGGAGGTGCAGATAAAAACCAACACTCAAAGACACCCAAGGCTGGGCTATCGTAGCAGAGAGGAAAAAGAGGCTTCGGGGCAATGACACCAGGCCTAGGTGTGAATCCTCAGGCCCATTTTTTACCTCTGTGAGCTCCGTCGCTCACCTGTAAAAGGGAGGTTCGACCCACTTACCTGGCGGCATTTAGTTGTGACAAATGAATGCAATGTCACAAGGTCCAAAAAATAATCAACATATGAATTTCACAGTCCCTTTCCCTCCACTGGCTTGCCCCTAGAAATTTCTGCAATCGCCTGCAAGCTGCCTGCCCCTCCTCCCCGGGGTACCTGCAAATGGCTGTCACTAGGGAGG